GGGGGGAAGGATAGGATATCTCTCCGAGAAAGAAGAGGGAAAAAAAGCGAAGAAAGGTGAAGCTATATATCGATAGCGATTAGGCTTCGGTCGATTTTAGGCGAGATGGCACAGCCGCTATACTCTCCTGGCTCCGTGATGAGACGATGGCGAAGGTCGTCGATCTCGTCTATCGACTCCTCCGTTCACTCTGTACTTCCTTTATCTTCCCCTGATCTTGCAGCACGTCGCACTCGAGAAGCCAAGGACGTAGTAGTAATAGTCGGGCAAAGCTTGAAAGCCTTCGAAGCTAAACGTCGACCGAGAGGAGTATGCTCTCTAGATGCGCGCGCTTTTGTACGCGTATCTCCTCTTCCTTTATTACACACAGAAGGCTGTAGTTGGTCGTCGCTGAGGGTGTTACTGACGTACGCGCGTGTAACGTATGTGTGTTTGACTACGTATGCGTGTCTCGAAAAGCCGGTCTCGTGGCGTCCTTCAAGCCGGTTTCAAACCAACGCGTGTTTCTCGTGACGGCGAATATACTGGAAGGAGTAACAGGGACGTTGGTGTTGTAGCCAGTACAGCGTTCACCGCGGTGGTCTATCGGTGCTGCTGCTGTTGATGAAGTAGGAGAAGACGAAGGTGGGAGAAAGAAGGGCCGCTCCGTGCGTGAAAAGGTGGAGAAAACCCTTACGCGCCGTCCTGCCGAAGCCGGGAGAAACGGCGGCGCGCGAGTCGGTTATTTCGGAATTCCGGGGGCAGAGGATGCCCGGGGAAAGGAAACGACGGACGCGGATGCCGATGAAGAAGCGTGCCAAGAGAGATTGGTAACGGAGACGAACGGCGAACAGGAGCGATGGTAAGAGAGTGGTAAGCACGTAAAGACGACGGGCGCGACAAAGCGGACGTATGGACGACAAGAGAGGGCAAAGGTCCGGCAGCCGGGTCGCGCTTGGGGTTCGGGTCGTGTCGGGATCGGACCCGAACAGAAGAGGGGGCAGGAATATTCCAGGGGGATGCCGGGGTAGAGAGGGCGCGGAAACGACGAGACAGAGAGAGAGGGAGGTTTCCGGGGGGGTAGGTAGGACAGGGCGGGGCGGGGAAATCGGGGGAGAGGAGAGGAGAGGAAAGAATTGCGAGTTAGCGAGTGACGTTGCGCTTCCGTTCTTCGGATTTACGTCATTTATTCGGCGCGCTGTTGGCTCCTCCCGCGCGGTCGAACTCCAGTTCCTGCTGTTCTGGAAACATACCAAAAGCGAAAACTCGCGTTACTGCGGATGCAAAGGCTTAAAATGCTTTCTGTTTCGGGCTTCTGAGCGGTCGGGGATAATGGGGGGTGACGGCGATGCAGGGGGAAAGTAAAAGAGGGGAAAGGGGTTAAGCGCAAGCCGCGAACAGACAGACAGATATACTCGGTAAAGCGTAAAACTACGCAATGCACAAGCACGCTCGAGCAAACGACAGACGTTATCAATGTCGAGATTGCGAACACGTCGCGACGAATTCGAAAAAAAATATATGTATATCGACCAAGCAGCGCGTTACGGCCCGTTATCAGTAAACATAAATAAATCGCACGCGCAAAAATCCGCTGAATCTGAATACAGATTCAAAAGTAGTATTCTAGTAGTAATTCCAGTATTCACGAGACCCCCATCCATTATAAACGAAATGTTAAAGTGGCGATATGACAGCTCGTCCAGTAATTATTACTGGAAAAATTATTAATCGTTTCTCATTCAGTGCTTTCTGTTTGAAGGATATAATTTTATCAAGATACGACCCAATTAACTCTCATTTAGCTAAAGTATCGATGGTAAAAATATACATTCAGTGCCGAATATCGTTGAAGCATCGCAAGCAACTTTAATCGACCCAGCGAATAGCGTCGCGCACACCAGAAGTGAAGCGCCGTATAATTTAATAATTCTAGCTGTGAAAACTCGCAACGTGCCATAACTCTTCACGATCTCCTGCGTACATTAGCCGGAGAAAAACTGTGTTTGCTTATGCGCAGCATAAACATCGGAGCGCGGAGCGTTTCGGGGGATGAAGGGGAAGAACGGGGATACGGTCGTGCATTTTATGTACGACGACGTAGAGATACCCAGTTAAGGCGAAGAAAAAGGCACGCGCGCGAGAGCAGGACTGTAGTACAATTTTCCATCGTGCAAGTAAGCCGCTTACGAAAAGCGGGCTCGAGTCGCCGTTTCTCATGTAACCTGGCACGAGTTATGACGACGTATGTGTGCGCGTCCGGCGCGTACACAAACGGCCGTGCCGCGACGGCCAAGAAAAACGTTTCAAGCGCGATCGTTTGTTTTCGTCAGGATTCTGCGTGAGAATCGCTGAAATAACGCTGCGCAAAAATACCGCTAAAATCTCGATATTATCCGGTGTCAACTGCAATAATTATCACACGTATTCTCAGGGAGAATTGTATATTCAGGAATTAATTCATGAAATAATATATGTGTATACATAAGGATTTCTTTATATAGGCAATTTATTATAATTCGCAAAACAGAAATTAGAATTCAGATTAATATTCTATTTATCGTTTTATATGCTATGTATTTGAAGGTAGACTATTATTTTGTATATAGGATATATAAAAAAACGTATTGTCTGCATACAGTAAAACCATTTTAATGTATCATCCCTTTTCCTCCTCCTTCCTTTCAATTATTTCAATTGTTGTTCTTTATATTTTCAACAAAATATTTCACATGAAAATTTCATGTTTTTTAAAAAGGAAATATGATGCATAAAATACGTTTTTTATATCATGCTTTTTATTTTACTAGATTTCATCGATAATATATTTTTAAATCAAACCATATAAATTTTTTTGCTCGAATTAATTTTGCTAAATACGCCGATATAATATTGAAAGGTAAATTCATCATAATCAATAATTTACGAGATATTAAAACTTTTATTTTAATAATAGTTTACGTAAAATGATAAAACTTTTATTCGAAACATTTTCCACTATAATAAGAGACAATGGAAATAATTAGCTGGATAGAAGGCGGGCGAAGAGAGAATACATTAAAATAGTCTATTTATATATGTATATATTCTGACGTTTCAAATATTTTTCATATTACAGAAAAAAATTATAAATAAAATTCTATCACGAATTATAAACCAAAAATCCAAAAAAGTCCATATTTTATTTCTTTGTTTATGACTCAACTAATTAATGAAGTCTCGGAACCGTATTCATTATCACACAAAAAAGTCAATTTCTATCAAAATATTCTAATTTAATGGTAAATGTTAAATCCAGAATCGAGTTTTCCTTCGTAACAGTTTTGCACAAGAAAGAATAAAGTAATGTTTCGCTTGCTATTTTAAAGACTGGAAATTGAATGCAAAAGTAGAATACATTAAATTTCAAAAATATCGCTCGGTACAATAACTCGAAATGTTATGCAACAACTGCAAGCATCAAAACTAAAACACCTTTTGTACGACTCCAATATTACTATATTTCCGGATATTTCAAACTTTCATATTATCTATCCAATAACAGTCTGGACATGCATCCTGGTACACGAATAAGCGTGGATATTCCGATAATCCAAAAGGTTTGAAATCAACAATTGTTAAAATCAACGGAATATGTTTTAGAACTAGAAATCAGATATAGAAAAATGTTACGAGTAAGCTTTTACATCGTATGTGTGGAATATGCGATAAATTGCCGCATCTATAAAGGAAATGTGTCAATTCAAATTTAACCTTTATTCAGACAAAACTCAGACTTTATTCAGAAGAAACTCTTTTTAGTTTTATGAACCAATTGGATTTATGTATTTTGTTCGTTTGTTCGTTGCTGCAGTTCATCTGAAATATTTCTATTTCCCCTTGCTGACAGCCTGTAATAATCCAGAGTTATATTCGTAATTCCATTACACTGTTATATGCCATTTTTTCGCTCATTGCATTAGCTCAGTACATTAGCATATATATTCTTCATAATTATTTTACAAAAGTTTTTTATTTTATCTGAATATCTTCTCTCTCGGGGAGAAGGAATACCTTGATTATTATTTATAAAACGATATTGTTTTAAAATATATTAGGACATTTCATCTGACCAAAAAAGTTAATGTGATTAAAATATTAATATTACAATATCACCGATATAAGCATATTAATAGTAATATATTTCCAATATTATAATTCACAAACATACTATACGCGTGTTAATTTTCGTAGACGTTACTCAGATTTGACATTTAAGAATATACATATAATAATTCGACATTGTAATGTTAAATTATTTGAACAACAAAATCGCTTCAATAAGAAAAGCATATCGCGTTCAGCTAAGGATTAATGTGACTCTTCACATGAATCAGATGTTGTTAATCTGGAACGAATCGCTGATACCGCTGCGGAGTCGACGTGAAACTTTGATCGAGAAAAACGGGAAGGTCGGCTTTATTAATAATTATTACGTACAGAACGGAGCCGAGCGGACAAGACGCGACTAAAGTACCGGGATCTTTCTCTTTCTCTCGTGACTCGCGTGCTCGAGAG